AGAATGTACTTCCTAGCTAGTCACAGGGCTGCTGATCTTCCTTTGTGCCATCCTGCCTATTTATTTCTTTCATTCTGTTCCTATTGCCACTTCTATTCAGAACCTCATCACCTTAGACCTGAATTATTATGGCAGCTTTGTTGTTCTGTTCTCTTTCTACCAATCCATCCTGCCTTATCTTGCCAAATTAATCTTTTTAAAAGCATTACTTTAATTACACCACCCCTCTGCTCAAAAATTTTCAATAACTGCCATCACATGGGGGCCAAAGGCCAGAGTCTTTAGGGAGAATAAAGGCTGTGGATGTCTGACTTCATTTCCCCTTCCAGATGTGTTTTCTGAAGTTTCCCTGCACAGAACTTAAGGACAAGGCTTTTGTTGTCTCCCAACATCTAAAAGAACCTCTCTGGCCTGTGTCTTCAGGCTCTTTTCAGATGTAGGAGAGGACTTGTAAACCTTGTCAACCCAAAGCCCTCCTAGTCAGGAACTTGGAGTACTTTGCTTGTTTTGTTGCTTGTTATTAAACTTTAATTTCTTTCACTATTGTACTATTACAGAATTTTGTGTCATGTGATTGTTCACTAATTAATTTTCATAGCTCTTGAAAGGCAGGGTTTTTTGTGTTCTCATTATCTACCAATGACCCCAGCATGGAGTCAGGAAACAGCGGCAGCCATTAGACACTTGTGAAATGAATGAATGAATGCAGAGGGCTGCCTAGGTATCTTGTATGGTCAGGATGGGAGTCACTGAGTTATGTCACATTGTAACTTCAGATGTTTCAGGATGACAGTTTATACCTGTGAGCCAGTTTCCCTGAGTTTAAGAAACTTTATTTTATGGTTTTGGTTATTTGTGAAACTCTACATGACGAAGGACAAGCTGAGCCCATGGATATGTAAACTTAAAATCTAACTTTGGCGTAAATATGGGCAGCATTAAAATCAACAAAAACTAGTGTATAGTAATTGAATAAACAGCAACTTTGTGATAGTTTCCTGTTACCACAAAACTCATTCACTTCTGAATAAAGCTGAAATCAATGAAGGAATAAAGCTGAAATCATTGAAGGAATAGATTAAGAAGAAAAGGTAAGACTGACTTAGTCTGAAGACTTTATTTAGATCAAAATATTCTATAACAGACAGAATAACTGGTATAGATCAGCAAGAGCTGATTGCCATCAGAGCTATTCTTTTCTAGGTATATTTTCTTGTATCCATAATTCAATGTCCTTAAACCTCAATATTCTCTAAGGCAAACAAGACTCATATGAACTTCGAATTCATCTGGAAAAAATAAGATGAATGGACCTCTTTGAGTTATTAGGATGATAAGATTTAAATCTCTGTGGAAATCAGCACCTGGCATATTAATAAATGATAGCTATTATTAATTACTGTTTTTGTTTTGGTTATGTCTCTTCTCACTCATTACCACTCAACTTACCTAAAAGTTAAAGTGCAAGGGTACTACTAGAGTTAGATAGGTGTGTGTTGGCTTTAGTATTTATTATCTTATTATTTATTAAACTACCTAAGCCTCAATTTCCCTAGGTGCCTAATATGGTGAACTATCTTCATGCCGTAATTGAACACACACACACACACACCAAGAATCAGAAAACATTTATAAGTGCCCAGCATTGTGCTTGCTAGTTTCATGTCAGCTTTCTATAGCGAAAGTCATCAATTGAGGAAATGACTCTCCCCTCCAGTCTTGCCTATAAGTAAGCCTCTGGTGCCTTGTCTTGATTGATAATTGAGGTGTGAGGGATCATTTCACTGTGGGTGGTACAATCCCTAAGGTCTTAGATTTTATAAGAAAGCAAGCTGAGAAACTCATAAGGTGCAAGTCAGTCAGCAGCACTCCTCCATAGCCTCTGCTTCAATTATTTCTTCCAGGTTCTTGTCTTAAGTTCCTGCCCTGATATCTCTCAACAAGGAATATGACTTGAGAGATGTAAGATGAAATAACACCCCCCAAGTTGATTTTGGTCCTGGTGTTTTACCACAGCAATAGAAACCCCACTAAAACAAACACAAAACAGGAACCCCATGAGTAGCAAACATAAAGCCTGAGTATTTTCACACAATGATGTCCTATTGTGCGTAGAAGAACATATGCTTAGGAACACTAAGCAAAAGACAGAAACTTTTTTCCATTGTGTCTTACTACTTTGCAGTAGTACCATAAACTGGCATTATAAACATCTTACTTTTTAAAAGGGGGATAGCATTTGTATAGATACAGTTTACAAAACACTTTGTAACTGGGGACTACATCCCCCAATATGCCACAATTAGTCCCTTGCTGTCATCTTTCTGTAATCATTATCCTTGCATCCCGTCCTTTCATCAAGATGCTTAGTGACAGTAATGATCAATGCCCCCTCCAAAGGAGGCTATTTAGGACCTCAGATGCATTGCTGCCATCATAAGCTTATATTTTTAGAAATACTTGACAGTCAGAATTGGACAGATGGGATTGAACAATTGATCGCAGACTCTCCCTCTTAGCAGTAGATCTCAGAAGCAGAGCCTCCTCTGGGCAGGCTTTTACAGTGGACACATAAAGATGCTTTTCTCATTTCTCTTTAATTACTAAGATACTGGTGAAGGTATACTTGAGGTTACCTGTTCTCATGCAGGCTAAAATATGGCTTTGTAAAACAATCTAGTAGCTGGCATCTGAAACAATGGACAAACAAAAGAGTACAAAGAAACAATGGTGACTCTCTTAAACCTACATTAAATCTTTATGCCGCGTGCTGAGTTTAATGCGCTATTATCTTAATTCAGTAGGAATGCAATTAAGTGCTAAGAAACAGAAAGCACCTCCCAGTTTTCCGAGATTGAGATGTTTTTAGTATCAGAATAATTAAAGCTTGTACTTAAAAATTCAGTAAATATATTCACTTTCCAACAGTATCTATAAGGTCAAAACCCAGACTAACACAGTAAAAGATCTCAGGGTGTTCCAGGCATGCTGGGTGGTATACATGTAATACTAAAACTATGTGTTTACAGGTCGTATTACTCATGAAGTTTCAAATGGATAGTTTGCCAAACAACCAGTCCTTAAATGAGACTCCACATGCAATAGTCTTGAGTTCCATTTTTTAACCCATTGATTTAGATTGGTTAAACACTGAGCGAGATGCAGAGGAATGAAAACACCTGCAGATATTTCTCATTACACTTAAAAAATACAAGTCTGTGGTTAAGCATCCTTGAAGTTGCAGTTGAGTTCTTCCTGTTCTACAAGGAGCTAAGGTACTAGGAGGATTTAGTGAGTCAGAACACAGGGAGGTCACTCCCTTTAAAAGGCCTCATCTTGTTATAGTGTCATTAGTATTGTGATTTTGATAGCCTTCTCTCATGGGCTTTTAAGTGGAACTCAAAGGAAGATCTGTTTTTCCACGATTTGTCATGGGAAGGTCACAAACTTATGAACATGTCACCTGTTTCATAAAAGACTTTTTTTTTTTTACACAAAATACAATAAAAATAGCAAGTCAGAGATCAGTCAGGACTGCTAACTTTTCCCATTCAGCATCACTGAAGTATACTTGGATTTCTCTCACTGTAATAAAAGTCTACTTTTTGTGTCTGCTGCTGAATTCTTGCCATATCAGACCAATGATACTTTGGCCAGTTCTCAGTTTATTGATTATGGCCATGTAGTTGCATTTTAAAACATGAATTATCAGACAAAACTCCACTAAATATTGTAGATATTTGACATTTAAGCACTGATAACTGCATAGCATTGAATCAGCACTGGTACTGGCCCGTTACTATGTCTGCTCCCAGAATCTATACACAGTGTGCTGTTTCAATATTTTTGTCTTCGTTTTCTTTTACCATATCTTGTGTTTATATCTTGACCACTGCCTCCCATGAGTTTGAATAATTTGTAAACTTCTTAACCCCATCAGTATTTATGTTTCTCTAACTCACAGCTATTTGGCCATTCTACTTTAAATCTTTCTCCCTATTTTACCTTATTTAGTCTTGGGAGTAATCCAACAATATGCATAGCATTTGTCTTTTATTTCTCTTAGTAGAGTGTGTCCCCTCAAGACTGTGCTGAGGCTTGCTCTCAGTAGGTAGGTCTCATCACTTTGAAGTGAATAAATTATATAAATTTTCACTCAACCAAGACTGAATCCTTCAGTGGGTTAAGGTATGATATAATTGTTGGAACATGTTAAAGAGTAAAAAGTAGAGACAAGCTGGAGAAAGTAGGTAGTGAAAATGTATCTTTAAAGGATTCATCTTATCCTGGACCCATCCTCCCATACTTTATTTTCTGCCTGCCATGAGCTTCTAAATGTTTCCTCACCAAGCCCTTCTGCCATAGTAGTCTCCACATGCTCGGAAACATGGAGCCAACTGACCATGGCCCATGATCACTGAGAATGTGACCCAAAATCAAACTTTCTTTTTGAAGTTGCTTATGTCTAGTATCTGTCATAGTGATGAAATCATAGCAATACTCTTCTTATCCCCACTCTTGGAAATGAGAAAATTAAAGACTAGAATGTTTTATCATATATCCTTAACATGGTCCACCAAATAGAAATTGTCTGAGTAAGTGATCAAACATCTTTCAAATTTATCTGTTCTTAATCTGTTCACCTTCTCTAAAGACAAGCAAAGAGTTATTTGGGAGTGTATTTTAGCTAGTTCAGACATCAAAGACAAAGGTTTTCTATAGTCAAATAAATAATGATAGGGTTCAGCAAGGTAGAAATGGGAATATTGAAATTAGAGAGTGGGAGGAGATTGGCAATTATATTGTAGAATGTTTTAAAAGCTCAAAAGACCAGGGAAGACCTCATGTTCAAAACCCATTGAGAGGTTCTGAATAGATGCTTCTGTGTGCAGGCAAGCAAATGCTGAGGTGCCTTCAGAGTGTTGGTGAGGCAGCAGGTGTGGATGACCATATGTGGTTGGAAGTTAAGAAGGTTAGAGGGAGGACCTCCATACACATACCTACATTCAGACACACCTCAGTTACTCCAGAGAGGACTATCTGGCTCGTGGTTGTCTCATGGCTTCGCCTCACCTTCTAGTTGTCCTCTTCCTCCTTGTGAGCACCTGGAAAATGAAAATGAATATTACAGTTAGATTTTTAAATCCTTTTCCTTAATAGCTGTGTTTAAACACACACACACACACACACACACAAGCACACACACATATTTGTGGAAAGAGACATACTCTTGATGATAGACATTTCTGCCATGGTCATTCTAGTTCTTTTTTTATAAAACAATTTATTGATAAGAGCCATAAATCACAATGTGCAGTTTAACCCTAGAATACAATATATGACCACTCATTCTACTTGATCAGGTGGTGGGGTTAAACATGGGAGACATCCACATGCACTCCAAATAATCTCCTTAAGGGGAACTAAGTTTCTTATCTGGAGTCTGAGGCTTTGACTGAGCATGGCTAAATGTATTCTCTTTAAAAAATGCTACATTTCCTGCATGTCTATGATGACCTTTTTGTGAGCACAGATGACTCTCCATATCAATCACTCTTACCTTTGGCTACAGGCTACCAGGAGACTGAGGAATTTTCTAGCTAACGTAGTGAACGTTTGAATTTAAGACTAAAGTGTTGTATGAGAGAGACTGCAAAAAAGACATATATGGCTTAGACTATACTTGAACAACCTTCTGAGGGTGACAACTATCATATCTGGTTACTACTTTGAGCCTGCATGCCCTATACATTGTACAAAATTAACACATCATTATAACTAACATAGATAAATAATAGTGAACACTAAGATCCAAAGTGGCCCCCAAACCCATCTTCATTTGAATACATGATATGCACATTCACATATATTTGAAATACAAAGCAAACACACATCCAGACACACACACACACACACACACACACACACACACACACACCATTTATAAATTCTTTTTGATTGTTTTTATTCAATTAATTGTGAGCTTCTTATAACATATATTGTTCATACTTACTTCCTGTTCCCTCTACTCTTCCCAGATCCAGGCTCCTTTCTCTATCTATCCAACTTTGTGCCCTATTTTTACAAAATATCCTTAAAGACAAACTTAGACTACCCAAATTTTTGTATGTGTGGTCTTCTATTCGAGGGTGGTCAGCTTACCTGGCTACACTCTTAGAGAATACTGTCCTTCCTTCTCCTAGCAGGTTGCAATTGACAATAGGAGCCTACAGTTAAATACATAGGTTGTTTTAAGAAAATCCAATGGTCTAAGAAAACAAACTACATACTTGAATAATATTATCAATGGAACTTATAGAATTTATTTACTGATTAATACATTGTCATAAATGATTGACAATTCTACTTGAGTTCTTTTCAACCTTCTGCCACACAATCTCAGTGGAGGCTAGAATTCTAAAGAAATCTATGAAGAAAAGGTGAACTCAGTTACTTTGGGGCATTTCACATGTCTGCTCTGCCTACTCAATAGACAGAAAACTAGTCTTGGTGCTTGTGAGAACTTGGCATGCTACCAGGCCTGCTGACCTCAGCAAGTAACAAAACAAAACTCCAGCTACTCAGCTTCTCATTTTGTTTAATAAGCTAGAATTATTTTTCAAAGATCTCAGATAAACAGAAATAATTATAATTATGAATAATTAAAATGCTAAACTGAAGAGGGCTCTCAACATTCGTTGCCTCGTGAGCTGATCCCCGGAGGGCAACATCATCAATTAGTTCAGTTTTACAACAAAAGATAAATGTGACAATCAGTGATTGCAGGTAGTCAGTTCAAGCAAGAAAGCAAGTTAATCCATTGTAAAGTCACCTTCTCTCAATTCGTGGGTGCCCTACTCTCTTTGGTGTTCAAGGTCTGTTCTAATTCTAGAATACAGAAAAGCATCAGGGAGCAGAAGGAAGAAGAATTCTGCCATAGAAGATGTGAGTGGATGCATACCAAATTCATCAGTTATTCCTACTGGACATTGGAGAAGGCAATTGGTAAATAAAGTGTGTGACTTTGAAAGCTAGCCCTGGGCTGAGACAATGGTTGAGATGAAAGCATATGCTGTGTAGACGTGAGGACCTGGGTTGGATCTCTGCAATTTGCATACCCTGGACACAGTTGCATGGGAGGCAGAGACAAGAGCATCTCCAGGAACTCACAGGTCAGTCAGCCCTGAGTACACAGCAATGCATCACAAAGTGACCCTGTCTCAAACAAGGAAGAAGGTGAGGACAAACATGACAAGTTGTCCCCTTGCTTCTACACACATATCATAGGACATGTGCGCCTGCACTCACATGTACACATGACACACATATATTAGATAAAAGAAAGTTCTTTCAAGGATATTTCATAAATTCCATGAATATATTTACTTAATTCACAACCTGTCTTTGATGCTGCAAAGCTAGATCTTTCTATGTAGTTCAGACTGACTAGCCTCAAAATAATAGTCTTTCTACCTCGACTCAAGTTCTGAAATTCCAGTCACTATGTTCTGCACTATAGCATTTATTGTTAGTTTATGCTAGATGGTTGCTAAATTGCATCGTTAAGAACTAGCAGAGTAGAAATAACTACATATAGATATATTTATATAGCTTCTCAAACATAACGTTAGAGCAATGTATGCCTATATTTTATTAAATTAAGTGAGGTTTTTTTGGTGTGTGCTATTCCTCATTATTCTTCAACTGTAAACAAATTTTCTTTAAGAAATTAAATCTAAATTATTTTAATATTTTTATTCAGAACTCTTTCTATAAATGTATATACGGACACTCACACTTTTAGCAAAATGTATCCATTTTCTTTTTGTAATATTAAGTGGTTTTATTACTGAAATTTTTCTTAACTATAATGGGATGAAAATAAATTTTCAATTGTAAGCACATTAGCAAGTAGAAAATGAAAGTTTACATCGAAGTCTCCAGTAAACATATGTCTTCATTCAGGTTCAACATACGATTTGGCCGCCATGACCCTGCAAAGACTATCATTTACTGGATGTCACATTGAAGAGACACCTTAAACCATTTACTCAGTAGAGAAAAAACTCATCAGACAAGTGGTGCCCATAGCTTCTGAACAATAAACCTGAAATTATTGATTCTGCCTTTAGTGATTAGTTGTCTATGCCTTGTATTTAACTGAAATGGTTACTTAGATATCTAAAGATGTGAAACTTACACACAATTGGCTAAAGTTTGTTGCTACCGTGTCAGCCATTTTGAAACTCATTAGTTTATAGGAACATTCAAAGAAAGGCTATGAAATGTAATAGTGAATGGTTCAGAATCAATCTGTATCCTTTGTTGATTTCATCTGTGTTCACTCACATTTTCATTAGCTGTGACTGGGGATCGTCAGCACAGCTATTGTGTAAGAGAGTCAAATGCTGGCATGACCTTGATGCACTATTTAGCATATATACTATAACACTGTAGGCAGTCTATGACTACAAAGAAAACTATGCCAACTATTAAAAGGCTGTCAGCTTTAGAAATTAATTTGGTCTTAATACATTGAGGAGGACATGCTGGCCTTAGCAAATGATTCATAAGAGCAGTGTAACCAGAAAGTAGTTTCAGGAACATTATTTTTTTATAGGGCCTTCCCTGGAGTGTAGTTAATATATGTGGTATCACTCCATTGAAGAAAACTGATTCAACATCTGCTGGCATTTATCAATTGCAAATAGCTACTTGGCCAGGCCTGGGACTTTGTGCCTTCTTTCCCTTATCCACACTGGGACTTTTTCTAGTGTGAGCTTGAACAAATTTTGAATTTAAGTTATGTAAACAAACAGCATGATCACATACTGGGGAAGTAGGAGTATGTAAGCCATTAGGCAGGACAAGTTTTCTTGTCAATAAACTGTGAGAATCATCTAAGCACCCCAGGAGCCAGCTGGAAGGGGTTTCCTGCTGCGCTCAACCACAGTTACTACTGAGTTGAGAATAAAAATCTGTAAAGCCGTGTGCACTTGGCTGTTATGGCTCTTGGTACTGTGTGTTAGGTTCTGAATATGACTAGAGCACTGAGTTAAATACGTAATGAGGTCATATTAGGACTATTTTCTAGATGATGGGTCAAAGCGTCAAAGCTTGGAGGTGCCAAGGCATTCCTTTTACCTTTAGAAATCAGTAAGGCGTGGAGGAAGGAGTCAAAATCTCACTCCAGAGTTTACTGGCCCCAGGCTCTACTTCAAAGGGCTTGTCAAGCACTCTCAATCTTAGGGTCCTAAGAACTAACATCACCACCTCTTTCATGTTTGCAGCCTCCTCTACTGAAAAATGTTTCTCATTTGCTATGATATTGTAAGTTAAAGAAGATTAAAGGTAGCAAATTTGTTTTGAGTATTAACAACTAAGGTTTGATATTACAATATTCTTAGTATTCTCTTGTTTTAATTCAATTGCTATTGTCATTATAATACACTGATCAAAAACAAGTTGCAGACGAATAAGTTTATTTCAGCTCACAGGTTACAGTCCAAAACGGATTCAACTGAACCTGGACGCAGGGACTGAAGAAGAGACTGTGGAGGAGTATTGCCTACTGGCTGGCTTCCAGAACCACACTTAACTTCTTTTCTTAGAGCCTCCAGGACCCTGTAGGCTGGGCATTCCCACGTCATTCGGTAATCAATAAGATGCCACACAGACGTGTCCATAGAGTGATCTCAGTTGAAATTCCTTTTTCCAGGTTTCAAGTTGACAACCATCAAGGAATGCCATCCCAAGACTACCCTAAGTCAAATTTCACCCACAAACACATCACTTAAAGTCATAACCTTTCCTTGTCCCCAAGATTTCATGATAATATAATTATATAAAACAAACTCATTTAAGAATTTCAATAATTTAAAAGCTTTACATTCTCTTTAAAATTCTGATAAAGGGACTGGACTGTGGTGGTTTGAAGGAGAAATGTCCCCTGTAGGCTCACATTTGTGAACCCTTGGTTTGCACTTGGTGGCGCTGTTTTGGGGATGATATACAAGCTTTGTTACGTTCAGCCTTGGTGCAGGAAGTGCATTCCCTGCAGCTGGCTTTGAGAGTTTAATCATGGTCACATTCCACATCTAGTTTG